GCGTCCGCCTTCGTTGAGAGCCGGTAGAAGAAGGGAGTATGACTTTATTAGCACACTAATCCTACTAAGCCTGTGAAATTACAACAGGGTCCCAGCCAACATGGGTTATGCTGTGCTACATGGATACCAAGTCGGTATGGGCCCAAAATTAACCCACTTGGGTCCACTAAGGCTGCTTTTCCACCAAATTTGTTCTGTTTGAGAATTTTGGACTCCTGATGCTATCCAGCCCATTTTCCACCAGTTTTAAGTGGAAGCACTGTAATTGGATGCATCATCAACAGAGGCTGCTGCAAAATGCAATACAACATGTAGAATTAAGTTAAAACACATGGTTACGAAGTAAACCTGCTGGAAAGCGACTTTCCATGTTCCGACCCAATTTATTTTTGGTCAGAATGCACAGCTTTATGGTTGTGTCTGTGTGTCTTCAAATCCCACCCAGAGTGCTTCAGAAGCGGGGTGTTTATAGAGAATGGTCCCAGCCATACGTTGTAACTTGTGTATTTTGTACTTAAAAGGGATACAAAATGGAGTGTTTCTGTGCCTTAATTTCTTCTAACCTGCCTCTAACTGACCTGGCCTGGTAACAATGTTGATCTAGCATGAAATTCAATCTAGGGTCTGCACGCTGTATTTTATTTCGAAAATTGAAGAAATTCTCTATGCCATTTCTGTTTCTGACTTCCTGCCATTGTAATCTGCTCTGTACTGCTTAAAATTAATTGGTCGCAGCTTTGGTGAAAAATAGATATATTCTAGGCAGAGCAGAAAGATTCTTCTAGTGGAATTCTGATCTCCGGTAACCACGGCGGAGCCAGAATGTGTCTGTGGAATTTTGGGTTAAGGTTTAGTTAGTTTCACAACTTCTTGGATGGTGAAACATTTTTCAGTGCCAACACAACATCTTTCAATACAAGTTTTTCAATTCCAATATTACTTTTTTCAGTTCAGGTTTAGTTTTTTAATTATCAATGCCAATATTTAAAGTCCCAAAATAGTTCCATAATTTTTCTAGTTCCTGAAACAATGAGACAGATGTTTTCACCCAATAGGTTTTAGGTTTAGGGCGTTTTCTATCTGTACGATTAATGAATAGGTAAAAGAATCTGCCCTGACTGTGAAACATACCCTTATTTTGGAATGAAACTGTGAAGAGGGAGCATACTACATGGCCAGTAGTGGGACTTGTTACTTAGTTCACATATGCACATTTGTCTTTAGGTGTTGAGGAACGTAGCGTCTCTCCTGTCTCCAGAACTGAGGTTTGCTACACTCTTCATGGCCATCATCTGGTTCTGCATGGCTTTCAGGTTAGTCCACAGTGTCATGTATTAGACAGTCGTCCAGTTGGATAAAGAACAATCTAATGCTCAGTGTGATAAATAGGCAGCAGTCTTTCTGTTTGGGTTGAAGTTACATTCTGGTTGTTTTATGCACTTTTTACTGATTCCGTCTCTCTGTCTACATTTTGTCACAGTTACTATGGTCTGTCTGTTTGGTTCCCTGACATGATCAAACACCTTCAGTACGAGGAGTATGAGTCCAAGGTCAAGGTGAGGTGAACCACAGACATAGAAATGTGGATAACACGTTCTCAATTTGACGTGCGTCTGCGCCATATTGGGGAGGTCAAGTTAACAATACTCAGAGATGCAGACTGCAACAGTTTTTCAGAAAATCTGGTTTGTTATAAATGGGGGAAACTGAACCTGGTTACTTGTTGGAATTAATTAATTTACAAGGGGCAGATCCAATTGGATCTAATCAGCTCTATGCCAAAAAATGTACCTTCGGAATAGCTACAACTTCCACTTGACCTCCCCAATATTGCAACCACGCAGACGTATAGTGGCTGCATTCAGCAGCGGTCGATGAGGTATCTATGTTTCTATAACTATGAGATGAACAACAATTATTTATCACTTCATTTTATTAATTATATAAATATCTGCCACAAAAACTGACTGATGTTGTTTTGCCTCTCTTTAGGTGTTCTATAAAGAACGAGTGGTGAACTTCCATTTTAACTTTTCTTTAGAGAACCAGATCCATAAAGAAGGGGAATATATCCAGGATGAGTAAGTCTGACTCTGTCACTGTCTGAACAGAAAGCTATTTATGTTCAGGTTTGAGGTACATATGTATTTTCCCTTAGTTTCAATCAGAAATGTTCAAAAAAATCACAAATTTAACATTTTACAAATTGAAAGGTCCAGTTCACATTGCCAGAATAATTTGAGGAAATATGAAAAACTGTACTTTCATCCTCTCTATGAAAATATCTTATTTCTTTATATGTAAAAAAAATTGTTTAGCTTAGTTGTTTTCATAAAATTAAAATTTCTGCATTGAATATTAGATAAAGATCTATCTATATCTTTTTTTCAGTAAATTACTTACCCTAAACCAATCATGTTATATGACCACTTTCCTGGCTTTATTCTATATTTATTACAAATCTAGTGAAGCTACTGCACTTTCTAGTGTATCTTGTCTTTTGGTCTTTTGAGTTAAAGTAGGAAAATCATTTTTCATCATATTAGCTTAAACTTTAATTATATCCTGACAGTAGTACATGAGACAGATAATCTGTGAAAAAATCAGGTTCCTCTGGCTCCTCCTAGTTCTCCTAATGGCATTAACAGGAATCCACTGGGCCTGAATGAAAACAACCAATCAGAGTCAAGAAAGATAGTTGACAGTTGAGTCTCATTCTGAGTCTCAGACATAAAATGTATTTTCCTGTTTTAGGTAGTGCTCTGTGCTAAACCATATACAGCTTAGTTAGTACATAGTTATGCACAGCAGCACCGACATCATCAACTTTCTGGAAGTAGTCAGCAGCTTGAGGACAGGTATAGAGAGTCACAGCTTCATCTTTTAAGACAGCATTACTTCCCATTTACCGTGTACAAAAGGACCACTAACACCTGGCCCTAGGTCATTTCATTCTCAGTTATGTTGTTATCAGAAACTGTTTTGCATGCTGTGTTTGTTGTATGTGTTGTATGCGATGCCCTGGAACTCATAAGACATTAGCTATATGTCTACAGGTAATCACTTTGTTGCATATGCTAATGGTCAGAACAACAAAAGCATTGAATTACACTGTGAAGACTGTAAACCTTGACTGGTTTATGAAGGCTTCACACTTTTAATTTATCACTATTTTCAGATATTATGAACAGCATACTTTTATTTTGTATACATGCATATGCCATGTGGGTGAAGTCAGTAAAGATAAACCCTCTGATTTTTTCACAGCACCCCCTAATCCCATAAATTCCTCTAAGCTCAATGTTAAAACTCCACTGTGCACAAAAGTGTATGCAGACATATGCAGATAATAAAACAGAAATCTAAGCAGGCAATTACACAAGATGCATTGCTATAGACAAAGTGTGTAGGGCAAAACAGCTGGTGTGCACAGTTTGATTAACGGAAAAAATTGAAATCAAGCAGACATTCAGCTCTACATGACCTCTCAGCATCATTTCAATAAGGTAGATTCAATTAAAATTTTCAGTTTAATTTTATTTGTATAGCGCCACATTCATTAAACCAAGAAGCGTAATCTCAGGACACTTTTCAAATAGAGCAGGTCTAGACCGAACTCCTTTAACATTTAGAGACCCAACAGTACCACCATGAAAAACAGAGTTTACTCCCCACAATACCCCTGCTCCATAACTCAGTCACAGTCCAACAGCTACCTAGCTAGCTAAACTTTTTACTGGCATAGTAAATGGTATCAAAACCGTAAGGAATTGGTAAAGCAGTAAAGCTGTTTAAACACGGTCAAATAATATCACTGAGTCAGTAGCCCTTACTTTAAGATATGACACTGTAGGTATCCCTCTAGCATCATTTCTGGACACACCCGCTGAAGAGTGAGAAATTACACATGGAGGTGGTGGGTGGATGGATGGCTTAAACAAACACAGGACATTAATCCAGGAGACTGCTGTTTGTGTCCCAGACGTTGCACGTTTATTGTTGCTTAATTGACTGCAGAGTCCTGCGAGTCCAGAAAGGACCCTAGAGGGATAGCTACAGCGTTGTATTTTGAAGCGGAGGGCAACTGACCAAACAGTAGTGATTGACGAGTTAGTAGTTAGAACGTGATCAACTGTTTACCTATGCAGCGGGTGAAGATGGCACACAACAACACTACTTTGGGCTCATCGCTGTCCTCAAAGTTAAATGAGTCTCAACTTAGACTTTGTCTGTGCACTGAAAACCTGAAAGTTATCCATGATGGATGAACAAGACGCAAAAGGTTTCATGCACGTAAGCCCTTCTTGTTCGTTGGGTTGTCTTGATTGCCAGTGGCTTTTCTGCATTTTTGTGCCCAGTTGAAGCTCAAAATTGTTGAGCTAGGAGGAAACGCATAGATGTGAGGTTCTATAACAAAATGAGGGAGTCTATCTTCAAGGATGCTTCACCTTTGCATGGGAACAGTTTTCAGTGCAGATATACAGTATGTTACACTACTGTATATTATTTAACTTATATGATTTTTGCAGAATTAAAACAGACAGAATTAATTTAAATAAATCTTTAATCTAAATCTGTTAAAACATTAACAGTAATAACACAGCTTCCACTGAATAATATTGCCATGAATATTATCATTATCAGTGCTGGCCATCTTGGATTTACCACAGTTGAGCCTACTCTGTCCATTCTGATTCTGCACTGCCATAACAATAGAAGTGAGCGTCCATGTTTTCTTTGTCTGTTGGTTTGTGTGTGTGCCCCATCCCACCCCCATAGGTTCATCAGTATAGAGATGAAGTCAGTCAAGTTTGAGGACTCACTGTTCGAAAATTGTCGCTTTGAGGACATCAAGTCCACAGACACAGTGTTTGAGAACTGCACCATCCGTTCCACGGTCTTCCGTAACACAGGTAGGTTCAGCTGGAGCAGGGAAAATGAGATTAAATCCAAGTTAGAGGTAAAATATTTAATATGTTAAAGCAACAGTGTGTAGGATTTAGTGACATCTAGTGGTGAAGTTGCACCTCAGCCTTGTCAGTGTGTAGGAGAAACTACAGTGGCCATGAAAAATGCAAAAGCCCTATACAGCCCGTGTTTGGTTTGGCCGTTCTGGGCAACTGTAGAAACATGGCCGTTCAACATGGTGGACTCCATACAAGAGGACCCGCTCCCTCTATAGATAAAAACAGCTCATTCTAAGGCAACAAAACTTTTCTTATTTTCAGATGATTATACACTAATGAAAACATAGCTATGAATATTATATTGCATTTCT